AGAAAATTCTTATTTTTACCTCTCTGTCTTCCTCCACCTTTGCTCACAGCAGATAAACCCCCTCACAGATGGCCTACCACATCCTTCTCCCTCCATGCAAATACAGCCTCTTCTGTTCTTTCTTCCAGTGTCTTCTTGTCTTGTTTGAACCACTCAGGTGTTAAGACGTGGATGGATAAACTGATGAGCTGTATAGCTGACAAAAAATAGGGAGAGAAGCCCCGTCTGGTTTTATATTTTTTTTTCATTAACTATCTTTGAAATGCCACCGACATTTGAAAATATCTGACTTTCTGTTTATAACTTGATTATATAAAGTACAGAGGTTGAGTAGGATATAAGCAGATGTGGTTTGCAGATTGCTTTCTTCATCCAACAGCTGACATCTGCTGTGCTAGGAACTGAAAAGGCAGAAAAATAAATTGTCTTCTGGTTACAAATCTTCTAAAAACACTTTTTCTCTGTTCTGTGGGGAAGACACTCAAGCTGTGGCCATCTCAGAACTCTAAGGACATCATTCCTTATTGGGGAAAGTTGCTCAACCACATTTAGATGGAGAGAGAAACATCTTTGACGTGCTCTCAGCCTCTCATTTAAAGATGTCTGGACAGTTTCCATCAGCAGTTTATTCTGAGGAGAGAATTAAAGTTTAAACTCAAAGATTAATTTTATTTTTAAGAGAAAAATAAAACCCCAGCCTGCTTGGGGGAGAAGGGTGTTATTCTGTTGAGAATTCAAGTATCTGAAAAGTGATATTTTTTGGCACCAAATTGTTCAATTCAAATATCTCACAACAAAATTTCATGAAAATTCTCAACTTTTCTCAGGTCTTTATTATCATCGGAAAGAGACAATTCTCATTCTCTATACCAACTCCTCCACTTGGTCCAAGGAGGAGTATGGTAAATTGCAGTAAATGGAGTAAGACTGCTAGATGAATTTATCTAGGCTCCATTTCTTGAACCAGATGATCTTTTGAGGTCCTTTCCAAACTGGGATGTTCTGTGATTCCAGCAGACATTCCGGCATTCCATTCCATATGACAGACAGACTTATCAAAGACCAGAGAATCATAAGGCAGTCTGGCAGTATTCCTAAATTGAAACAATTCAGATTTGGCCAGAATATTTTGTTTTCATTTATATTCTATTTTTCTGATTCCTAAAGTATTTAATTTTTTTTTTCTCTGGAAAATGTCCTGATGAGCTCCGTTCTCTTTGAAGATTAACCTGGTCCATCTCTCAGGAGAAGCTCATCATACCCTGATGACCAAGAGAATTTTAGAAAATTCACAGTTAACCCAGCCTCCCATGTAGGACATTGGGATAGCTTTTTGGGACTGAGATCTGCTGCTAACATCTGCTGTGAACACAACTGAAAAATGAAGGACTCCCCCCGCTGTTCCCTGCCTTTCAAAACCTATTAATAGGAAGAGGGATATTTGGTCAGGATTTTTTTGCAGCTGCTGGGACTCTAAGGATTCTCATGGAAGAGACAAATGGGGGATTTAGGGCAAGATTAACTGCCTTCATTTGGCTGTTTGCAATGGTTTACCGGGCACTGGAATATCTTTAATCCATGGAATTGATTCAAGACACCCACCCAGCAGTGGTTAGCCAGCCCTGCAGGTACTTAAAATCCATGATGTACCTCCCTGTTTGCCTTGACATTGTATATTTGAATAAAGATAATCATACATATATGTAGTAATTGCATAGATGGAGCTGTTGACTGCCATCTATATTGCATACTGATGAAAAAGAAAAGTGAAGAACCACCCACCAGAAGCTGTGTGAAATGGCTGATCTGTTGGGGTATTTTGGTTATTGTTTGGTCTACAGAAGTAAACTAAACAGAAGTCAGAAGCCGATGTGCCAGGGGTACAGAAGAGGAACAGAGAGGTAAGAAATTGAATAAAATCCCAAAGCATTTAACTGGGATTTTTTTGTCATTGCCAGAAACCTCCCCTCCATGCAGAGCTGACAATTTACAAGAAGTGGCAACAGTTTTGATTTTGACAGAAGTGCAAAGGATCATCTCTGTGTCATGCCAGCTGTACTGTGAATATACCTTATCTTGAATATATAAAAAACCATATTGATATAATCTTTGTATGACAGTATGACCACTGGATTTTGGCTGAGAATCGATAGAGGCGAGCTTCCAGATACCTTTCTGGGTTGTTTTTTACTGTTATTTCTTTAATGTATTTTTATTAGAGAATAGCTGAAGTGTGGGGAAACCTAACAACAAACCCTGCAACCATGCTGATTGTGGAATTCGGAAGACAAAGTGAAATATGACTCTCCCTGTTATTATGGTCTCTTCTTATCTCACAGAGGTGGAGCGGACAAGATCCCAAGCTGCTGTTGAACTGCTGCTGGCATCTTAATTGCCTGGTATTTTCCAGTGCTGTTTTCAGTTCAGGAATAAGACCTGGTGGATTTTTAAAATGTCATGTAAAACACACGCATGTGCTTGTGCCTGCTCGGATGTTGTCTTTGTGGTTATGGCTTCTCTCAGAGAGCACACTAATTTGCATTACAGATTCACACTTTGAATTTAAACTTAGAATTTCCTGGGTCTACCCTGGCTCTTGCAATGTCATTCAAGAAGTCTGTAGTGGGAGAATATGGTGAAATTACTCCCTGGTATTTCTTTGGGTCTGTAGAAAACTCTTACAGCTCTCCAGCCATGACACATTTCAATGCAGAAATCAGTGCAGCAAAACCAGTGCATGATTTCTGTTATTTCTTAGCAGAAATATCTACAGCTTACAAAGTCTGCAGGGATCACTTATTCTGATCAGCAGGGTACATCTTTCCACACTTTGTTGTTGTTTGCCTTGAACAGAAAATGGCCGAATGAGAACTCGAAACCTGCAGAAAACCTCTACTCCAGAGCTTTGCAATTTGAAAGTAATCTCAGAAGACAGAATTCAGCCCAGGTATGGCTCATGCCACTTAATTTAGGTGTCTGCAATGTAAATATATTTATGTGAACTCTGTGGCTCTTCTCCCATCGCAGTTAACAGAGATCTAGCCCATATATTCGGTGTGAGGGTGATGCATCTCTCAACTGTAGGTGTCTATGGCTTCACTCATTTGAGATACCTCTGCCTCCAAAGGCCTCTCCAGAATTCTGTGGGTGTCCTGTAATTTAGTTTAATAATTCACAGGGGATGGGGTTAATTTGCCTACATAAGTGTTTCTGGAGCTATTTCTGATACCTTATGGTATCTGAGATATGTATGGGACTGGCGAGTATGAAGTTTTGGCACAGACCCTATGGCAGTTGAAGGCCAGGTAGGATCATCTAGTGCATCACTGTCACACCTCCAATGCAAACAAATCCCAGCCTACAACACAGAGACCAAATGTAGCTGAACTTCTCCCCTGTTTGCACTTGTTATAGTGAGTAGATCAATATATTGGAAAGTTGTTGTCAGAAACTTCTTCCCCATGTGACCATACAAACATGAGTTTGATCTGGTGGGCTCCATCAGAGCAGGTCTGGTGGCTTTTGTGAACTGAAGACAGTTGTCAGAACTAGAGTCTGGTCTAAGCAGAGTGAGTAGACAAATCTCTGCACAGCTCCTCATGGAGACATGTACAACCATAGAAAGGTTTTGAGTTAGAAGGGTTGTCCAGTTCCAACCCCACTAGACCAGGTTGTTCTTAGCCCACATTGAGGAAACTCAGTTCTGGTCAAAACTGGTAGTAGAGAAGGGATGTTAGGAAGAAATTGTTTTACTGGCAGGGTGGTGAGGCCCTGGCACAGGTTGCCCAGAGAAGCTGTGGCTGCCCCATCCCTGGCAGTGTTCAAGGCCAGGCTGGACAGAGCTTGGAGCAACCTGGTCTAGTGGAAGGTGTCCCTGCCTGTGGCAGGTGGGTTGAAATTGGATGGCCTTTAAGGTCCCTTCCAACCCAAACCAGTCTGAAAAAGTTATATTCTTTTTCATATAACGGATATCATATGAAAAGGAATATACATCCTCAAAATACATTCCAGAAATGCATTCCTCATGGATTTCCTGAGCTGGAGTGGTTATCTTTATACAATAGCCTTCAGGTATTAACAGGGGGTTGCAACTGGATGAGTTTTAAGGTCCCTTCCAACCCAAACCATTCTATGGGGAAAAAATAAAAAAAAAATCTAGGCAATGTGGAAGTGTGATCTCCTGATTTAGAAAATGGAGATAAGCAAATGCAGATCTGAAAACTGTTAAGTTCAATTTGCTTTGAAGGGAGGTTATTTAAATCAAAGTAGTGGTGGGATTAGACAAGCTTCAAAGGGATACCCTTATCTTAGTTATTTTAATGGGAATTTGGAATTCAAGTCCCTAAAATGGTCTGGAAAACCTCAGCCATGAGGATGTACTTGCAGACACACAGTACTATCCCAGACCGTGTCCCACACCATGCATGTGTGTGTGTATATTTCCCTCCTTGTTAGATGCATTCTAAGTATTACAGATTCTTTGTACATCCCCAGGAGAACACCAGTGTGTGATCTGAGGTGTGAACTCTTCCTTGCGCTAGATGATATGTCGGTGGTCAATCTCCTACATAGGTCTATCCCTCACATCTAAATATAGATCTGTGCTTGTCATTTAATGAACTGCAGCACAACAAAGGCCAGGGGTGCAGTCCTGACTGAAAGTGAGATGCTCTGTAAGTGAAGTAGGAAGGTAATTGTTGGTGCAGCTGTGGGGAGGACAAAACCCATTGATGGGACCTGAGCCATAACCCAGCCTCCCCCCTCGTACATGTACATGCATGCACACACAACTAGAAATTTTTGACCCAGTGCCAGCCTCAGCCCTAAAAAGCCCAAACTCTCTTTCCATTTAAGTGTCAATTCGTAACAATACCATATCCCATAGCTCTAAAATAGATGAGTAAATGTCTTGTCCTTTTATAGCTGTGGCCCTATTGTAATCTCTGGCATGTGACAGGTCTGAGAGTGACATAATGTGTGACTTCAAGAGACTGGACAGGGATAAAGACCTGTGTGAGCTGGTGATTTATCCTGCAGCAGCCATATCTTTCCTGTCTGTCTGTCTGTCTCCTTCTCTCCCTTTCTAAAGCAGCTCACCAGCAAACCAACATGGCTCCAAAGAAGCCCGAACCTAAGAAGGCAGAACCTAAGAAGGAAGAACCCAAACCAGCACCTAAACCAGCAGAGCCAGAACCCCCCAAAGAAGCTGAATTTAACCCAGCTTCTATCAAAGTATGTATCTTTTAACCTGGCATGGGAGGAAGCAGGCTGGTGGGGCTTGGGTTGGTGGTGGTTTTGGCAGTGGTATGTTCAATGCTGTGAGATGACATTCTCCAGAAGTAGCTCTTGGTTTTGAGCAGAATGTGATCAGCAAAGGCAATTGCTACAGGTGAAGTAAGAGTTGGAGCGAAGTATTAGGGGATCAGCTAAATAAAGACACTCAAAGAGAATCTTATTTTATCTGACGGTGTTCAGACCTATTCATTCCATCTTATCCCCAAAGTAGCAGATTTTATTGCATGCAAGCTTTACTGACCTCAGTGGGAAGCTTGTTGCTCCTCTGCTGGCAACAATGCAGATAGGTGCCAGGAAGATTTGACTATATTTGAGGCTGACCACTGACTAACCAGTGGCCAAGGCTAGATTGTAAGCTTGGAGTGGGCTTGGAGCAGGCTTGGAGCATGGGTTGAATTAATTTCTCTCTGCCTGGAATGCATCATTTTGGTAGATATCACCAGCCCGAAGCTTCCTTAAAGTAAGCCAGTGACACCTCCTGATGTTTTCCAGAAAAGCCCAACTGAATGGCAAAGGAACTGTGTGCTTATGTGTATCTTGGAAGGCAGAGAGAAACTTGGGAAAAAATCCAGCTTTCCTGACTGAACTGCTGCATTCAGGTTCTGCACCAAGGATTCCTTCAAATGGCATGAGCCTTCTCCTTCTCCTTTAGAGAAGTCTCTGCTGGAAAGAGTTGTTGCTGATCTTAGCAGGATTTGCTGAAGTCTTCCTCAAATATGTAAGGAAAAGATTGTTTGCAGGGCCATTTCAGAAGCAGGTTTTGAGAGAATTTGGGAGGATTTAAGAATACTCTAATCCTGAGCTGCCTAACTGGCATCAAATTGCGCTTTCATTGAACAACCCCATTGACAGGGAACTACCAATGTCTAGGAAATACTCAAGGTTTTAAAACTGTGAAGTAGGTAATTCCACTGAAATGGTGTTGGAGATCTTTCTCTTTCAAATGCTTTTTTCCATGGAAATTTACTCTTCAGCAGATATCTGAGAGTGACCTTTACTTTGAAAAACATTTGCTTCAGGAAATGATAAGGAGAAAGAAATTTTATAGTCCTGTGAAAATGACCATGAAATGGACTATTCAAGAGTGACCTCTTGACTTACAAAAATGGAGTAAGCAAATAAAGATCTGACAATGACTAGCTCCCCTTTGATCTTTCTGCACAACACACATACACAAGCAATGTTAGAGATCCCCACAAGAATCTTTAGAGACAGCTTTCCCATATTGTTAGCACAGTAAATACCCCATGATAGGTGGATACTGCAAGGTGTAGTTGGATATCTTTGCAAGGCATTGTCCTTTGGAAATTGTCCTTTGGGAAAAGAAGAGGAGCTTTGCAGAGTTTCCTCGTTTTTTTTCTCATGGGGATTTGAACCTGACAATGGCTGGGTGTAGATCAGCATTATTTTGTCGATTAAAGCAACCAGATTCTTCAGATTCTTTCTTGTTTCTTACAAGAAACTGAGTAATCAACAGGGGAGTCCTGGCTATCATCTGTGTTTATGGTGAGCCACAGGACATGAAACAAGACTAGATAATGCTAAAGAGGAAAATGGACAGAACTCCACTGCCATCCATGGCACCAGCTCCTCAAAGCTGACATGAGGGATGAGTGTCTCCAGGACCTTCTCTTCTTAGGTCAGAAAGTGATTTCCTCCTCAAGAAAACATAGGAACTATGTGAGAAAGGGAGTAAATTACCCTGTCTTTTCAGTGTGCTGCCTGAGTACACCACAGCAAGTCTCATGGGTGGCTTGTAAATCATGGGCTGCTGAAACCATTTGCTTCTTTCACATGGGAGTGACTCCTTCAGCTGGGGATTTCTAACAAAGGAAGCACTGAAAGTGGAGGATTTTCTGCCTTGAATCATAAAGACCTTGCAAATCTTTCAGTTCAAATGCTAGAGAAATAAAGCAATCATTTGTAACTATATCAAGAAGAACTCAAATTACAAGGGATTTGGTTTTGGGCTAATTTTTAAAGTAATGCCCACAGACTTAGTGCCATACTCTGAGAACTTGCACTGTGACCTTGAGTAAGTGGTACGTGGTAGGATCCAGCTCTCTGTACTTAACATTCTTGCACTGTAAAAGGAGGAGGGGGAAATTGCAATAACTTCTCTTTCAGGGCACAGATGGCTTCAACCAGGATACCATGACATTGTGGTAATATTCTTCTGGGATAGTGTGACACTGTGGTATGAAGGGCAGCTAAGTCCAGTAGAAACATGAGTTATAATTAAAAGAATATAAACGAAAAAATCCCAAACTGGTACTGCTCAAAAAATAGACACTCCTCATTGTAGTCAACACAATATCAGGATCATCAAACACATTTCCATCCAAGTAGGATTTGAAACCAATTAATTTCTGCATTTTTATTTTAAACTTACTCTGCACATGCGTTCATGCAAATTCTTACATTTTTCCTCTAGCCCAATTTGCAATTATGGACTCATAATGTTTTTAAATTGCCAAAAAATATATTTTGGGTTCCTTAAAAATAAATAAATCAATTCAATATCCCATTTTAATATCCCTTCATCTTTGCAGAGAATATTCCATTATCTACTATATACAAAATTGGACTAGGGAAAGCATTGGTAGATGCATAGTTTGGGTCCCATAGCAAGGGGAAATGACATTCTCTAGAGAAGTTTGAGAAGTTTTCCTGGGAATTTTTCAATTAAATGTTTTTCATCAAGAATGCTTCTGTCAAAATTGAAGCTATTTGTGCACAGGACTGGGTCTGGCAGTATGCTGCTTCTTGCTACATAAACCTAGTTGTGATGGAGCTCAGGCCATCTAGTGTATATCAGAATACCTCAGTAGGTCATTCTACAACATTTGAAAAAAAAAAAAAAAGGCTTTAAAGAGTTTTAAAATTCTCCAAACATCTGATTTCTACATTCCAGGATAAAATTGGTTCTTGATTTTAGGCCAACGATAATCTGTAGTTAAAAAAATTCTGAGGAAAATAACCTTGTATCAAAACAAAATGTTAAAAATGATCAAAATGCATCTTTTGATTGGAATGTCTCAAATTATCGATATTTATTCTCAGACTTTATTGCACAATTTTGAATTTTGAATTTTAAAATTTTTTAAAGTCTCAAAACTAAGATATTTCTGTGGTAGAGAAAAACACTTCTTGTTTCAATTTTTCTGGTATGTCTGTTGCCATGATGACGGTTTAAGAGCCTTATTTTACACTCCAGAATAATTTTAGATTTTCCCATTGTCTTTTTCTAGCTGTTTCATGGTCTCAGGGTGTATTTGGGTTCTATTGGGATGTCATTTATAGTGGCTTAAATCTGGGATACATCCCTTCAGTAAATGCAGTTATACTAAAGTTTTAATGCTAGTCACACATATGGGATTTGATCCAATACTTAAAAATTTTCAAAGTAGATTGGGTGCAATTGAATATTGTTTGCAACTCATAGAAAAGAGTTATGGGTTGTTTTATTTTTTGGTTTGTTTGCTTTTCTGTAAGACTTTGTCCGAGTCCATGAAGAAGTCTTTAAGAAACTGTTTCTCTGCAATGGGCCCTGAACCTCTTTACTTTGGGAAATAGATTGTCTTGAAGAGATTTTGTAGAGAGAAATTGTCTTTTCCATATTTCTAATTCATTCCCATCTGAATGCTGTCTTGTAGCAGGGTGACACATTTTGCCAGAAATATATTCTGCTCTCCTGAAAACCATTAAGGCTGATGGAAAACAGGATGGATCTTTCATTGGTATGGACACAGAAAGTGTGACTGGGTCATCTAACTTTAACCACTGAAAAAAATGACCGCTGACCTTAAGCAAATCACCTATAATCAACTCTAGAGAGTTTTATCCCTTGCAGCTGTGCTAAACACCTATATGAGGATGGATTGTATCACCCTTGGGAGATGCTGCTCTGCTGATAAAGAGAGTTGAGAGAGTTATTTGGGTGCCAATTTCAGCAGCTAAAGTTAGCTAAGATGACGTGTGCTCAAAATCCAGTGAGTACTGGGTACAGAAAAGATAGCTGGCATATGTGAGGACCTGGAAAGGACACAGCTTACCGTACAGAGTTATCCTTAATGACCATATTTTCCCATGCTGTCACTTGATATGCTTATTGTAGCAGCATGCTGTAATACAGGTGCCTGGGGAAAAAACAGTCATCATTTATTTTTGTGGAATACTGTGATCTTAAAGCCATGTGAAAACTGTTCTCCATGAAAAGTCCTGCAGTCTTCTGAACATCTGCAAGCACAGTAAAAAAATAAAAGCTTCTTCCCTTTTTTTTTTCTTCTTCACCTGGGATGGGAGCAGCCACGAGGGAAATACACAGGCTTTGTGCAGCACCAGTAAAGATGAGATCCTGCCAATGTGTCTGTTCAGCTCCCAGGCATTGAGTATGTCACATTGTGATGGCAGACATGCAAGGGTACATGTCTGAGCCTCCACTGCAGCGTGAATCAGGCTGAGCAGGAATCAGGAGGAAGCTTGAAGTCTGGGGGAAGAGAAGCAAACATCTCTTGGGGGAGATGGATTGACTTTCATTGGGAAAAATCCCATTTCAACATAAAATGCCCTGCTCGGTTGTATTGTCAGAGCAGTTTTTGATGCTTTGCTGAAGAGTTTATTCTGGGCTGAAGTGACTGAAATGATTATTTCATGGTGAGCTTGGACCTGGGAAAAATGTATATGAGTTAATAGTGAATATATGTGTGAGAAAGCCTTTGGGGAATGAAAAAGAAGAGTCACTTTGTGGTAGAAAGGATTTTGTTCGTGGGGTAAACGTGTTGAGAGGTTTTGAGCATACCTTTGGAGAACGAAGCATATTTTGCATGTGTCAGAGAGAGGAATTTAGCTAGGTCCCTGACTTCGGTAAGAAGAGATGGAGTGTGTGTAGGGGTGAAGGGTTTTGTCTGCAAAAAAGCTTCTTTGTGAACAAGAAA